TTGTTTGGTTTTAGGAAAATGCCAAAACTAAGAGAGTGCCGAGCAGCTCGTGGTGTCGTCTTCTCTCTTAGGAAGGCTGGGTATTTCTCACTTTTTGTGGAAAATGCTGGTCTTTTATATGAAAACTGTAGGCTAGGCCCGCCCAATCAGCGTAGCCTAACTCCGAGCGCAAGGGTTTTATGGTATGGCCTGCGTTTCGCTTCGTACGTCGTGTCGTGTCGGTCGCGTGTACTTTCTCAATACTTTCTTATATTATTTGTACATGCTACAACTTATATTATTTCTACATGCTACAGTATGAATGAAGTATGTATTTTTGTAGAAAAATATATAAATATGTGAAAGTATGTATTTTTATATAAATATGCATTTCGAGATTCTCTAAATTGATACTAATAAAAAATGATAAAATGTTAAAATTATTTAAGCGAGGTCGCAAATGTAAAGCGTAATTTATGAAGTGGAACAATTGAATTTTCAGTAATTACATTTATAACGTGTCTTGCGTCACGTCGCCATTTTGATTACCGCAGTCGACATGTACAGTATTAAAAATGAAAATAAATATCATTTTAATTTAAAAAACATTTTTCACATGATTTACATTGACATTTATCATCATTAACTTTTATGAGACAGTGAACTACAATATTTATTATGAAAAAAATATATTATACTGAAATACATTACAGGATTTATTATTATGCTTGAATAAATTACAAATTATTATGATATACTTCAAAGTTATAACAAATTATTATATCATACTTGAATATATTAAAAATTACGATGTTATAATTGAATTTATTGTAAATACTAACTTTTAATATTATAATATTATATTATCCTTCAATATGTTGTAAGTTATTGTTATACTTAAATATTGTAACAATTTGCTATATTGTACTTGAGTATATTACAGATTGGTATATTATCCTTGAATCTATTGCACATAATTATATTTTCCTTAAAAATATTACAAGTTATTATATTCTACTAGAATATATTATAAATTAATATATTGAGTTGTTCGGAAAGTTCGTGTCGATTTTGAGGGGAATTGAAACGCAGCTCATTCAAATTTGGTACATTTATTAAATTATATAGGTGCCATTCTGTTCTATAACCTTTCTCCATCTTTTATGCAACTTGAAAAGTCCTTCCAAAACGTCTCAGGCGTTTTGGTAAAAAATTATTCTAAATAAAATTTCATGCCGCCTACCGAAAATCGGCACGAACTTTCCGGACAACTCAATACATACTCCTATTACAAATTACTGTATTATACGTGAATATATTACTAACTATTATGTTACACTTACATATATTACAAATTACTATACTCGAATGTATTAAAAAATATTATAATATTTCAAAATATTATTGTAACCCAATATTGTACAATCGAAAATATTAATGCATGTAGGACAATGCACAGAGTGTACAAGTTCGTGCATAAACAACCCAGTATAACAGTAACAACGTCAACAATACGACAATAATTAAATTCAACCCCGTCCAACAAACGCACCCTAGTGCTTCACCCTCTGTGCAACAACAAACCATCAATATTTGCATGCGAAAGCATCGCAATAAAAAGAACAGTACAGCTCGGTATATCAAAACCCACCCCTCTTTTCTCTTTGGCTATAAACCCAAGACAATCAAGAAGAACAGCACACCGATTTCATTTAACGATAAAACTTTCCCCTCGACACCATTGGCGTAACTAGCTAGGGACCTGGGTCAGAACTTTCCAGAAAAACTAAAAATATGGACTGCTACTCTTTGTATAGCGCGAGGGAGGCAGGATGTAGGACATATCGTACGTCTTATCGTAGTTATGAATTTAAAAATTGTCGAATTTTAGAATTTTGGAATTTACACAGTTTTATGTTTCTAAGTTATTTAATTTTTGTAGTTTTAAATATTTAAACTTTTGGATTTCTAAATTTTACTGTTCTCGAATTTTTGAATGGTTATACTTTCAATTTTTCAAATTCTTGTGTTTTCATATATGCAAGCATTTAAATTCTTCAAGTTTCAAAATTTCAAAGTTTTAAAGTCCTATATTTTTAAATTTCCAAGTTTTCAAACTACCAAATTTCTAAGTTTCCAAACTTTCCGATTTTCAAATTACCAAATTTCCAAATTTCTAAATTCTCAAGCTTCCAAGTTCTGAAGTTTCCAAATTCTCAAGTGTCCAAATTCTCAAGTTTCCAAATTCTCAAATTACCAAATTCTCAAACTTCCCAATTCTCAAATTTCCGAATTCTTAAATTTCCAAATTCTCAAATTTCTAAATTCTCAAGTTTCCGAATTCGCAAATTTCCAAATTTTCAAATTTCCAAGCTTCCAAACTTCTAAACTTTCAAATTTCCGCATTCCCACAATACCAAATCTCCAAATTTCTAAATTCCCAAATCTTTGAATCTGCGAATCTTCAAATTTCCAACTACCCCAATTACAATATTCTTAAAATTTCAAATTATCTCCCAACCTTCTAGCTTTCCAAATATCGAAATTCGTGAGAGCTCAAATTTCTATACTCTAAACTCCTAACTTCTCAAATTATGGGATTTTTTATTTAAACTAACTTACTAAATTTCTAAATTCTTCAATTACAAATTTATCACATTTCTAGAAATCAAAATTTATTTCTGCATTTCAACATATCCAGCATGCTACATTTATAAATTTTCAAAAGTCCAACTTTTCACTTTTGCAGTTCCCAAATTTCCAAAACTTTAAATTGAGAAATTTGCACATTTCTACATTTCTTACTTTTTGTGTCATTACAGAATATTAATGTTTGCATATTTCCAAAAATCCAAATTAAAAAATGTATACTTTCCCCACCTACCAAAATAAATAACCCATATGTAAAATTACATATGAATGCAATCAAGTTCCATACATTTTTTGTGATAAAGTAACGTACAAAAAATAGCAAGTTTCATTCAATATATTCGTATCAGATTATTATTAACAAACTTTCGAAATCTGAGAATTTCATTATATTTTATATTTCAGTGATGTAAAGATATTTTAACATATATGTATTAAAATTGTAGTAATTATGTTTGTAACCAAAATTTTATTGAAATTTTCAGAAATACATAAGTAGTATTAGTATTGTCCAGTATGAAAATTTGTTGTCTAAAATTTTATCAGGAGAACGCACACGTGTCCCAAAACGAGAGTTTTCGTTTCCTGATTGGAATGTGTAATAAGATTATTCCCCATATTCCGAGTACCCAATTTCCTCAATTCTTGTTCTCCAAGGACAACGTTTATACTAAAAAAAGAACAAGAATTTTCGTTTCCTGTGAATATGTTGAGTCAAGTGTGGGGACCGAATACTCCAGTATTATTTTTAGGGATTTTTACAATCCCTGGCAGAAAATTGATACGCTCCGGTTCTTGATCTTATGTTGTTTCGGTCAGTAGAGACAAGGACAGTAGATAGTCGATTTCCAAAAATGTACAAAATGTGATTTTTCTTTACCAGGATCCTAAAACCAGAAAGCAATATTTCGTCATGAATTTGACGACTTTTGCAAAATCATGACTTTTCCAAAATATTCTTTGTATGGAGTCCAAAGCTAATCTAGTATGGAGTCCAATTTTGAAATTTTCTCTTAAAATTTCATGAGAAGGAAACATGCAAGTTTTTATAGGAGACATTTTTCACGTTCCATTTGTTCAAAATTAGGTTCCGTACTGGGTTAATGTATGAAGAATGTTATGCACAGAACATCATGACAAAATATTGTTTCTTGGTTTCGTGGTTCTGGCAAAGAGAAATTGCATTTTTCACATTTCTTGAAATTGAATTTCGATTATACTTGTTTCTCCTGAATAATACACTTTAATATAAATAACGACCACCGTAAGTTATCAATTTTTCGCCAGAAGTCTTAAAAATCTCCAAAAATAAAACTCGGAGTTCTAGGACCCTAGAGTCAACTCTTAACCCCCTGCACTATTTTGATGAGTTTGACTCATGACGCACTCGTACTTCAGTTATGATCAATTGTACTCGAATCGTTAATACTCTTCAATTTGGAGTTCAGGTTTACTTATAATTGGTGAACGACTACATAATACCAAATTGACATAACATTTCAATTGTTTATTTCTACCCCTTGGCTTACAAATTTCTCATCAGGTGCGTCAGTCAGAGCTGCCCAATTACTGCAGCATTAAAATAAATAAAGAATACTGAAATGTTACGTAAATTTTAATATCTTCTCATGCTTTGATGATTCTCACTCGTGACGCACTTACAGTTCAAATGTGGCAAACCTTACTCAGATTTTGAATACTCAACTTTGAAATTTAGGTCCAACTATAAGTTGCATTATCAAGGATCTCTGAATATAAAATACTCAGAACATTTTAACGTTCTTTGTTCGTTTTAATATTACAGCCCTGAATAGTTAGTCTTGGCTGACGCATCTGATAAATAAATGGCACAGGAAGGGGTTAAATTTAGCGACCCTTAATTATGCAAACTACAATTGTATCACAACTCGATCTTCACACAAATACCATTTAGTTTCGTCACATTTAAACTGTAACGTGCATCACGAGTGCTTCGATGTTATAGGGCAAGGTTATTATAATAGCTGCAGGTTAATACTGCAGCTGTTATTAGTTATTTCCGGCTGACACACCAAATAAATCATAGTGCAAGTTCTCTACGAAAGTAGATACTTCAGTTTACGCCAATGTCCGAGATACGCGGACACACCTTGCGTTACGGGATACCGCTCGTAAAAGCAGCCTGTATCTTTTCGCTCATTAACTCGCCTCAACAATGACCGTGGGTGTCGGCGTAGTACGTCGAGATCCTTTCAACCCCCGTTCATCCACACCCTGTTATAGTACCCCGTTATGCGCATGCGCAATGTCCGTCGAACAGCAAGTCGGTTCGCGCGTAAAATCACGCGCAGCAGTGTCGGTCAGTCGCAGGTAGACCGTCGTGGGGTGCGGTTCGTCGCGTTTCGTCCTCCTTGGAGGCTTTTATGCCTCCGGGATTATTTTCTCGCGGGTTGCTTGTGCTCGGCTTCTTGTTCTGCTCGAACATGTGGTGCGCGTGACGTGCAGGATATAAAGCAGGAAATGTTCTTCACGGAAGGCTCGTGCGCCTTCCTGCTGCTGGCGGCACTGACGCTGTGCCAGGGGCCCGGTCATGTTCAGGGGAAAAACGACAACTGTATGTAATCAATTACCTACACATACGTTGGGTGATTTTGTGGCTTGGCGAGAATGGGGGCAAGTTGATACATTCTACCCTTTCAGTGCCGAACAAAGAAATTGTACCTAAGCGAAGACCGAATGGAAAAGAAACTGAACAAAATTTGTAAGGGTTGAGTTAGGAATGTAAGCATGATTCAAAAGAACATACGAAGTGAAAGGAGAATAAATACCAATTATATTTTGCAAGCTAACAATGGTATATCGTTGTTCGACATTGAAAGACTTCATTTTTATTATTTGTTTTTGAATTGTATTTGATGAAAAGTGTGCTGGATTTTTCTGTATTGTTGGTTAAAATGGAGGAAAAATACAGACGAGATGAAATAGAGAATGTTTGTTTCACGAAATTAAAATGTATTTATCTCATTGTGAGAAGATGATACTACTGCGAGATGCTGATATGAAATATCTTACTATAAATTTTAGCAATTATTTCTATATCTGTATAGAAGTGAAGTCATGATAAATTTTTGAGAAATACAAAATTGAGAAATACAACTGCATTTCCTGCAGTTTCTGTTTTATATTACAATTTACAGATCTATTAATAAATAATAAATTTTGGTCTATTTAAACCTATTTCTGCATCAATCTTTTTTCTTAATACATGTCAACAAAGTTGTTTCATCTATTCCACATATTTGCACTTTGCTTTATGTTGCTAGTTAGGATGAATCTTTCTTACAACACAGACTTTAACAAAAATATTTTGTTATTTTACCAACACATGTTTCCTTAAGATAATTTCAAATTAATTTTGTAAAAATAAAAGAGAAGAAAACAATAAATAGATATACTTATATGTAAATCAGAAACCAACAATACAGCAATTTTTCTAAGTAGCATGATACATTATATCTCTGGCGGAAGTGACAAAGCGACGCTTTAAGCCGACGATGCACCAGGTGCATTATTAATACTTATGCAGATTCGTCTATGTCACATCCTGCATGTCGTTAAGTACCTACGCAAAACCGTATATAACGCGTCTTATGTGTTATTAAACATCTATGCAAAACTGTACATATATGATGCATCTTACGTTGGATCGAAACACTTAGAACTCGCGCGGCTGGACTGGCTGCTAACTTCTTTATTTTGTTACTAATGGCATGTAACAATTTGAGTATATTCTGCAAATTGCTTGTACCTGATAAATGTACCCAACAGAGCACTGTGATTGCCTTTCTACTTTAGAGGGGGCATAGATTAAACAGTTATTACCGAGGGTGGGCCATATGACGACGCTGTGCTTGGTGGAAGGAAGGCAAGAAATGAAAGAAACCATTTTCTTTTTCTAACGATATACATGACACAGGCACAGTAGAAAATGTAAAAATTCGCCTACCTATTGGCAATAGTATTAGCTCGTGTTATTGGTATATTGTGTAGACAATCCCTAAGATAGACATGTAGTTAAAAAATTTGGCGCCACGTCCTGAGTGATGCGTCGCCAACGTGCAAAGGAGGAGAAAAGGACCTAGGGTAGCTGCGCAAGGTGCAATTCGATTCAGTTCCTTTGACACGGCTCTTTAAAAAATATTGTTACTATAACATTCGTATTTTTCCGTCTTGAAATACCTATGTTCCTAGAATATAAGTAATATAACAGAATACCACTGTTATCATAAAACAAGCATTAAGCGGTCGCAAGACCATGGAAACGGTCGTAAGACCCGAAAGGTTGTTACAAAACCCTGAAAACGGTCGTAAGACCCGGAAGGTTGTTGCAAGAGCCGGAAAGCGGTCGTAAGACCCGGAACGCGGTCACATTCGTGACCCCTAGAGTGGTTGTGCCATGCGCAGTCGCTCTGACTACACACACGCGGTCGCATTCATGACCCCTAGAGTGGTTGTGTCATGCGCAATAGCTCTGACTGCACACATTTCACATTCACATAAACATATATTAAATATAGCAATTCTACGAAATCATTGACTGCAATGTCTTTCTTCTTTGGGATTTATACCCAAATATTGTTTTTATTTACTAACACCTGTCCTTTTACGTAGATCAACAGGGATCACGGGACTTAAATAAGAAATCTTTCGACGCTACATAAATTAAACATCTATGTAAAACTGTATATGTCGCACCTGGTATGTCATGAAATATGTATGCAATACTGTATGTGACGCGTCTAATGTATCATTAAATAGTTCTGCAAAACCGTGTGCGACATACTGACTGTGTCCTTAAAGTCACGCACACAATGCATATGTGACGCACCTAGTGTGTCACTAAATACCTGTGCAAGACCGTATATGACACATATAGAGTGGCGTTAAATATCTATGGAAAGCTATATATGACACATCTAGTGTATTAATAAATACCTATACCTATATGACATATAGAAAACATATGAAACATATGGTGCATACGACATACCGAGTATGTTATTAAATACCTATACAAAATCACATATGCTGTATTTGGTGTTTCATTAAACACGTACACAGACCCATATATGACGCACCTAGTGTGTCATTAAATATTCATGCAAATCTGAATATGACGTACCGCGTGTGCCATTGAATACTTATACACGTGACACACCCGGTGCGTCATTAAATGCAAAACCATATACGACTCACCTCGTGCGTCAAGAAAAAATTTATATCAATCAATGTTTAAAATAACAAAGGTAATATTATTACACTAAAATAAATTCACGAAAAGAACCTGTAAAAATTAAAATTCTTGCAAGTTTCACATTTATAGAACAAAGATAATCTGCAGGCCTGAAAACGTACTTTGAATACTTTATAATAATGGAAATAATAATTTTTCTTTTTTATCACGTTTATTCCTTAATTGTAACAATTAATTTACGAATAACATAGATTCATAAAAGTCTCATTTTTCTTCTCAGTGAATTTTATCGTGTTCATCCTTTGAAACGTTGAAAGAATAAAAATCAATTATATCAGAGAATTAACGGGGATATAAAATTGAAACGAGGAAATAATTCACGAGTTATTACACTATCGATCGACATTTTCATTCAGTGTTGCACAAATACGTATCCACGAGAGAAATTTATTTAATGTTTAACGTTGCTTGGTTTTTAACATTTTATCGGAGTTCGCGATACGTAATAAATTACATAAATCGTACTTATCTTTAAATGGACACGTTGTCTGTAATTTTCAGGTTTAATTAAGGCAAATTACATAAAAGGCACGTACTTTCATCGAATAATTCTCGTCTGAACGGTTACAATAATATCACGAAACATTTTTATTAACTCTCGCAAGCTTTCAAGTTATTGACTCTTCTCACGGGTCTTCGTGTTTTAAGGACGCTAAAAATAACACGTGGTAGCTCGGTTCGAGTGGTTTTAATTTATTTTCCGTTCGAAGAAAGAGAATGAAATGAACTTTCTTCCGCTAAAATCGGTTCTTTAAAAGCGAACGGCGCTCCGTTCGAGATTAAAGAAAAACATGTCATATACTTGTAAAATGAAAGTACTTACGTGCACAGGAAAATAATTCTTTTCCTATTTCTGAAGGAAAACACTTCTTTCGACAAATTTTAAACAAATAGAACTTTTTATTTGAAATTTTATATCAATTCTTGTGGGTATATACATCTTTTGCGTCATTATTATTACTCATAGCAAACAATGTTTTAGATGAATTTGAATGGTTTTGAGAGGGGCATATGCTGGTGGTATATTTTTTTTGTAGGTGGACGTGTGAAGAACATATGAAGGTCATTAATGTTTTTATAAATCATATATTTTTTATTGCATCAGCTGATACTCTTCCATATTCTTTACAAAAAAGTATTAATCTGCTTATGTGAAAAAATCATTAGTTTAGGAAATATTTTAATTTTAATGTCTATTTACAGAAAAGGTTCTAATTGGGCGACCATTTACACCATGACACCTTCTGAATCGAGAAATTAATGACTTACTAACATTCCGTAGTGTATAATCTTTCTGCATGTGTAGCATTTTTCCCAGCTTCAAAATAAACCGATAACGTGTCTATCTTTTCTTCTTTAGAATACTTCATCATGAAGTGATAATTCACTGTATCGTCGTATTCATCGTATTAGAGGCGTAACAGAGACAAAATTTCACTGTTACTGCGTAACAAAAAAAAACAAAAACTCACAATTCGTTTGATGACACGTGACCTCTCAAAACATGTAGAAAAACATTTGCTGTTCAGTTAGGGCTAATGATTTTTTCACATAAATAGATTAATACTTTTTTGTAAATAATATGAAGGAGTATCAGCTGATGCAACAAAAAATATATTAATCAACTGTATATAATCTTATTGTACACTATTTACTATAATTAATAGCTCAATATATACTTAATATATACTTCTTTTATATACTGATTACATACTAATAACTGCAAAACAAATAAATATAAATATCAAAATTATATTAAAAATATTGTCTGTTCGTTTTATTTACTGAATTGATGAATAGAAAATAAAATAGAAAAATAAATAAAAAAGTGTGGACATGTTTTATTGATAAAACCTCTATACTACCCTCCAAATTGGAAGTTGTATAGTAGCTAGCTTTATAGCGCTCCCCAAGGGAAATGATGACATAGAGAAAGAACATCTCACGCGGGAACAGTTTATTTAACATTTTTTAGCTATATATCAAATTTTTTACAGTATTACACATTGTAAATAATCGTTTAATAATTAAAAGTTGAATTGATGTTTTGGTATAATTTTTGTTACTGTTCTTTAGGAATATAGAGATTTAGAGTTTGTAAGACTTTTTAATTTTAGGACGTTGGGATTTTGGAGGTATGAATTTTGAGATTTGAAATATTCTAGGATTTTTTGGATTTTCTGGAATTTTAAGATTTTTAGAATCTTTAGAATTTTTTAAGATTTTTAGGATATTAGGATTCTTAGAATTTTTAGGATTTAGCAGATTTTTTTAATTATTAGGATTTTCAGAATCTTTAG